GACTTACAGAGATCCCTTGTATAGCAGAGCTTTTCAATCTTCTTCGCGTGGAACCTGCCTGATGTCAGACTCTAAATTCATCAGGCGATGGAGAAGCTAGAACATACCCGTGACCATATGGCACCGTGAAGGTATGGTAGTTGGACACATCATTCTCGTCAACCCAGTCGGCAACCTCGTCCTCGAAGTTGTCCTTGATGTTGCCATGCAGATGATGAGGGTTGAAACGGTTCGTCGTCGGTCTGCCTCTCTCCTCTCGTCGTTTGTTGAGATATGTATCTCGAACCGACTGCGTGGGAAGTCGTTCAAGGACGAGAAGACGCGCGAGACCCAGAGTCCTCTGGAAGCTGCGCTCAAAGATGGTAGGATCGACGCGGCTGCGATCAAGCTCTGGCCAGTAGACCTCAAAATTGCGGTGGCTGTACTTTGAAAGTCGGTTCTCGTAGGAAGGACTCCTGCGGGTGAGGTCGATGTGGTTGACCTGAGTGATGAAACTTCCCAAGGCTCTAGGAGTCACCCAAACCTGCTTTCCATCGTACGCACCGCCGGCTGCATCGATATCGAAGCCGGTGAGAATTTCACCAACAGACCTGTTTTAAGTGTTTTAAGGTTAGCCTCGTGCTTGATAGTCACTTGGAATCAGACACATCTGCCGGTCTACCTACTTGTACACACGCAATACGATCTGGAATGGCGGTTAGTGCTGGTGACTAATAGCATGAAATTGTGGCAGTCCTTACCTGAATATGACGAGTAGGGTACTGAGAAGCAATAGTGATAGCGTACTTGGTACGAACTACCGTGACCTCTGTCAAGATTGCATCCCGAACAGAGGCCTCAATCTCCTTGATCTTCTCGATGGCCTCTTCATGGGTAAGGCCGTACAAGAAAAGATCCACATCAGACGCCGGGCAGAACTTCTCGTGGTAATACTCTCGAAGCTTGCGCTTGGTCGTGTTGAACTCTGGCGGAACAGGGAGAAGGGTGTTGATGACTGACGAACCGGCAGCAACGACGTTGTCCCAGTTCATATCGACAAGAGAAGACTCGGAAAAGACGTTAAAGTTCTTTTGGAAATCCTTGAGGCCGGAGACGACAGCGGGCGAGCCATTAGCACGGCGCTTGTCGTCCGGGAGGGCCATGATGTAGCGGTCCTTTTCTTCCTGCGTCTCGGCGGCGAGGAAGCGGGCGCGAGTCCTAATGTTCTTGGTGTCCTTTGTAAAGAGGGGCACGAGGTTGATGTGCGGATCGTCGAGGGCGGGATTCTTGCGGTCCTGGGCAAAGACGGAGCGCAGCTGGGCCTCGTACTTGCGGTAGGGCTCTAGGATCTCGACCATCTTCTTCTCTGGATGGTCGTGGATGTAGTTGACCAGGTCCCCGTGGGGAACTGGCAACTGCTGGAGCTCTGGGAGTGACATTGTGGGAAAGTATTGGGATTGATATTTGATTGAGTCTGGGAGGGGATTGCTTTTATGGAGTGACTCTTTTGGTCGTGTCGTGAGCAGTGTCAGGAGTCGAGGCGTGTAACCCGGCTTGAGCAAGAGGGATTCAAGCACAATAGATCCGTGGGTGGGGTAGACGATCAACGATGTAAGCTTGTCAGATGAGGCTGGGAGGATCAATTGACAGACAATGGAAAAAGGAGAGAAGAAGTCATGAGGATGGAAGTTCACAAGAGATGCGTTTGAGAAGAAGATGAGGAACTGAAGCTATCTTATAATCTGGAGGGGGCCGTTTGGCGCATTCCTTCTTGACCGTTTGTTCTCGTAAAAAGGAGGGGATGAGGATTTTAGATCGTCCCAGGCAAAACCATGTCAGATGCAAGGTACCTTTTTCGTGTCTTGTCTACCGTAGAGGTACATAAGCCTAGCGCTATTACGGATGCGTCCTGTCATCAAACCAGCAGCTCAGCTCGGTACCAGGGCTGCTGCGAAGCGGTACCTTTACCAACCACGAGACTTGCCTACATAGACGAAATTACATCCAATGGGTGGAGGGCCAAAGTTCCATGGCGAAACGAGAATCACGTATGGGTACAGGCATAAAAAAAACTGTGCCGCATGAAGCTGTCACGTAGTTTAGGCAGGATACGCGCTCCAAGGGACGAAAAGAGAGAGCTCTGACACGCTTCGGGGCATGCAGGGGGGTATGTTGCCTAATTCGCGGCGAGGTCTTTGACACGAAGTCCAGTGACCGCCGTGTGGACCCACTATTCTCTTCCCGCCGTGGACCGCCACTGCCCGCTGTTGCCTGCCTGGTGCACTCCCCATCCTTGACACAAAACTCAATTGAGTCGATTCCAACCTCATGAATGACATCCGAGGCCGGCTGCAGCCTGGATCATTTGCAGATCTCGAGTATCTTGATGAGATGAATTTAGCAAAATGAGATGTTGTCTGGACTTACCAGCATGTCAGTCACCGGTGGTTGGGAATAGCTTCGGGTCATCTGATCTTTGTCACTGTCCTGCCAGGCAGAACCATGGCCTGGACCTTGCTACGTGGTTTCTTCATCTTAGAAAACGAACTTGCTACAGGACTTTCATCTGTCCTCAAATCTGTCTGGGTCATATCACTAGATTCAAAGTCGTGATTTCGATCATAAGTGCCAGAGCCAAGATACGCAGAGGTACTTCGAACATTCCAATTTCTCATGCCACCTGCCGCATGCCAAACCAATATCCTGTATGGGATTCAAACAGCCCGGGCCAACATAGATTATTCAAACAGAAGAAATCATCGACTACGCGGGCTCGGTCTTAGAAAACGTAAGCTCCGGTGTTTCGTCATGAGATTGCTCCGCGAAGTCAGCCATCGTACACACTCACTTGATATTCGAATCGCCGAGCCAACGACTCTTAATTACTATTTTTTCCAGACAACCAGCCACTGCAATTCTCATAGGTCTGGATGGGGTTTTGAAACCCGGTATTCTCAACCACGCACTACCTATACTACCACGACTCGGTGGCAAAGCTTTCTCGCTACTGCAGCGTGGAGCAACACACGCGCGAAGGCTAAACTATCACTCGTTTGTCTTCGTCTCGAAGGGATAGAGCGAACAGAGTCGACAGAGTCAGCCATCGGCACATAAATTCAAGGTAACGATCTTGCGTTGCAGCAAGAAGGGAGCTGATGTACTCCCTTTACCGGGTACTTGTGTGAGAATGCTCTTTATTATCATTATCAGACTCCCTCCGCTTAACCGAAATTCCGAAGTACTCCGTTGACCTTATGCCGAAGTGATCGCTGCCGCCCTCTCCAAATCAAGTACTCTTACATGTTCCCGACCGTATACTTCCATCATCCTCGAGCGCTGTCATCATTCCGTATCGTCACAGCTAAACCCAGGGACATACTCCATCAAGATCCCAGAAACCTCCAGCAGACGATTGTCCACGTCTCCCCCTATTGGTATTTGCACCGTGCAATGTGCCTTGGGCAATCTGATACCCTTCTCCACGCCCATGCGGGATTGCAACCGATTCAACCGCGCATTAGCAATCCCATCACACTGAGACTGGCGGATCACCTCCTCCTCGAGCAAGTTGACGGGCTTCTTCTCCCCCTCGCCTCCAGCCTCCTCATCCGCCTCATCTCTCTTGAAATCGTCGTCGTCCTCCTCATCGCTATCGGATCCCCAGAGGTACTCGTTAGCGGCGCCCCGGCGGACATAGTCGACAAATTCCTCCTCAAACTCTGGCGTCCACGCGCCGAGCCCCCGGCGTTGCCGCGCCCGCTGGATGCACGGCGAGAAACGGCGGTCAAAGAGCTTGAGCACGGCCTTGAACGGCGACCCGGAGGGCCGCAGGACGGCGACTTCCAGGACGGTCCAGTCGGACGGTTGGAAGACTTGCGCTATCACCATGCGCAGGTTGCCTTCAAAGGGTGCCCGGCCGCCGACGGCGGTTCCGGTGATGATGTTGCCACGATAGTATGGATTTCTTTCACAGGAATCATCAGCAAATTTAAGCCAGGATTTTTTCGTCAATCGTAGGTAGCTCACGGTGAGTATGCCATCTTGAGCCAGCTGACGATGGACCTGTAGAAATCTCCAGCTCCACGCGCTAAGCCGAGGAAAAACCTCTTGATGGACTCCAGAATGGCCGACATTGCTCCCGCCCGAAGCCTCGTGCTGAAATTTGTCCTATCAAAAACACCTGGCCCTTGGCGTGTCGTGTGCTGAATGGTACAATGTGGACAAGACGTAAGAATGGCGTGAGGGCGCAACGTGGGACTAAAAGTTGGGATGAAAAAAAAAATAGTCGCAAAAAGGGCGCTGGGGCATTGAAGATGTACATAGTGGAGGACCCTTGTCTGATATGCCCGATTGGGTAATTAGCTAGAGCTTGTGTGGAGACGTGCTGCAGAAAGCATTGACGCCAAAGTTGACGCTAGCGGCACGCTTACCGAGATATCCCAGCCTGCTGGGTCACCGGTGAGTCTCGGTGTGGCCGGCGAGGTCTAAGCTAGAGTCGAGAGAAGACCACGAGACGAGCTTCTGACAACTCTACACAGGTGCCCATCAACTGGGCGAACATACTTGCCAGGGGGAGTTGTTGGAAGGGTATCTCCTCACAAACGCCGCACAGACACATCTCATGGAAAACACGCCATCACCTCCCGCATGAAGTTTCATGACACTGCAACGGAAGGCCGGGTCCACAACACCCAACTTTCCACGTTTCCGGCCGGATGGAAGGGCAAAAAGGTCCCTTGTGGCTAGCACTTTTTCATCCCAACCGACTTGGGTGTATTTCGAGAATACCATGTTTGCAAGCGCAATTCCATCCACAACCTTCCCTCCGAGCTTCCTGTTTTTCAGCTTCTTGTGTTCCGCAAACGAAGCCCGGTATCCTCTCCATAACGCCTCATAATGCTCCAATATCCAACGTACACACAGTCTCTCTCTAAATATACACAATAAAAGTCTCCTGTCCTTTTAGGAACCCATAAAACCTCCCTCCCGTGTCTGTAAGATGACGACGTTGAAGATAGGATTCAGCACAGCCATCTCGACGCCGCAAACCCAGCCACGAACCCGCCCAACACAAGCGAGGCCCCAATCGCCACCGTCAGACTCTCGCTGACCTCGCGGTCGATCCACCGCTGTCTGAAGCTGAACTTGCCGAGGCGCATGTGGAACATTTCTTTGACGTCGACTTCGCCCTTCCAGTTGGGCTTCACCCGCATCGATTCTCGTTTGGAGAATTTCCTCTCCACTCTTTTTGTGTTCAATCGCGTCTGGTTAGTTTTCCGTCAGTTTCAAAAGTGAACGAAAAAAAAAATAAGGGGAAAAGGAGAGGTCGAGACCGTGTGAGACTAGGAAAGGGATGGGGAGGGGAAGAAGAATCGGTAGAGGTGGAACTTACACCAGAGACAAGCAAATATCTCCCTTCAACTTGGCTTTGAGCTCCAGATCGACATCCAGATTCAGCCCAATTTGCAACCTCACAGGCTTCTCATCCCGGTCCCCGCCTTGCCGGGGGATCACCACCGTCGTCTGCCTATTCAAGTTCCCGCCGTTGCCATTCTTGTTATCAATGTTGATACTTCCACCGCTGCCATTGAACGCAGACCGATCGTTGCTGTTGCCATTGTTGTTGTTACCGTTCCCATTCCGGTTCCGGTTTCTCCGCCTCCTCCTCCGGCCTCCGGCCCCGCTACCCGTACCCGTACCCTCACTCCCGCCCCCATTCACGCTGACGCCCGAGTCGACGGTCGAGAACCCCGTGCTGGAATCGCCCGCGCTCGAGGCCGAGTCGTCGGCGCGCAGGCCCAGCTCGGCGAGGATGTCGTTTGCGTCGGGGTTGTAGGTAGATGGGCTTATTGGGGGCGAGGCGTAGCGCCGGTGGTGGGCGTGGGGGTAGGTTGTCATGATGCTTCTCGGAGCCATCTTGTGTCTTTTGAGTTGGTTTTGGATGATTCGAGTAAGAGACGTCGTGGGACTTGATTCGTCTGAATCTTTGGCACTTGCGGTGCTGGATGACTCTTATCTCTCCTCTGATGACCTGGTCACGACCGAGTATCGAAATCGAACGCCAAAAAGGCTCTGTCGGAGAAGAAGTAAGTCGTGAATCAATATTTGGTAGTTAATTGAGGCGATCACTCAGGCAATATGCCTATTATATACCTATCCAGTTCTTGTCAGATCCCAAGCCAAGGTACCCCATGAAACCCCTCGCCACACCCAACAGAACACGAAAAGACCATATTCCCTGAACTCTCGTTTCAACAAACCCACCAATCTACCATGTTCGCGGCGAAAACACCAAAAGACTGTCACAAATGGACCAAACTCGACTTACACGGGCCTCCTCCAACACTGAAGCACCGTCACGTGATGGGTCGATGGTGGAGAAGGACGGGTGAGCATCTCGTACGATGCCGCCAGACCCTGAAACTCGTAAAAGCGACCCCTGGAACAATCTCATCCATGATCCCTTCTCCAGAGTCCAGACTGTCCTCACATTCTTTTCTACGTTCCGTTAAAGAAACGAACCGGGATGTAATGCCAGCGGGATTTTCAGCCCGTCCTTACCGGGATAACTGAAAGAGAGGGTCAAACGCTTCTTCACCGATCAACGACCCCTATCGTATGTTTGTCAGAACCCCCCGTCAAACCCGTCAAAACGCGGGGAGGATCATTCATAGATGCGGAAACTGAGGTTGGTTATCCGACCAGTTGTTCTATTAATCCCTTCTAGATATATATTCATCCGTTTTCAATGCAGTGACGTTCCCTATACGCCACGCCTAAAACCGCCGCAACTCCATCCCAAGTGTCCGTCACTGTATTTCTGCAACTGTGGGGGAAAAAAAAAGTCGTGCCTTTCCTCTCATCGCATTGGAGATGGAGAATTTTAGCCCCTGTAGAGCTTTGACTGTGAATCTCAAGTTGTTGAGGATTCTAGAACCTCTTCATCCCATTTTGTTTTCTCCGCATTCATGCGATGGCTTCTCGACCAACGCAACATAGAAAGGCACCAGACCGCATTTTGCAAATCTCATGCAGTCTGATGTCGAAGCGTCGGCTCCGCCCAGAGTTTCTCTCCCGGTAGTCGTTGACGGCTAGTACCACCTTTTCAGCCATTTTCCTCCCTCGTTCGATGATAAATGGGTTTCCCTCAAGTACTGAGCAGATCCCGAACCGACATCCCCCGCCCAGCACCTCTCGTCGGATTCACAATGCCACCAGCACCAGCACCAGCACCGCTAGCACTCGCCTCCCCAACCGTCCCCCTCCGATCGCTATTCAGCATCAACAATGCAGCCGTCGCCTCGTGGTCCAGATCGCGATCCCGCTGCGGCGCCAGCGCGGGACTCGTAAGCGCTGAAAGGCTGCCGTACCCGCCGCCGTACGTCTGCGGCCCAAACGCGGGTGATGTCGTCGTCGACGTGCTGTAGCTGTAGCTATTATGGCGCGGGTGGTCCGTCGAGACGGACGAGTAGGAGTCGTGGCGGTGCCTCGAGTCCTGCGGTAAGAGGGCGGGCGATACGGACGGCTGCTGAGAGCGGGTATGAGGAAGTTGCTGTTGCTGTTGTGGTTGTTGCGAGTATTGCTGTTGCTGCTGCTGCTGCTGCTGCTGCATAGGCGGAAAAGTGGGCGACGGGGCCTCGGAGTCGGTCATCTCCACATCGTCCGGATCTTCTTGGTATCGCGGCACGAATTGCGGGATTTGGCCCCACGGCTCGGCGCGGCTGCCCCCGCCGGAAGGCGTCTGCAGGCCGGACTCGGCGGGTGAACGGGCCTCGGAGGCGTCGCGTTGGGCTTTGAGCTTGGAGACGCAGTCTTCGAGGTACCTCACGTATTCGATTGATGCCTGAACCCATTTGGTGATGATTAGCGAACCGGCAACGGACGAAATTTGAGTGGATTCCCCCAACTAACCTGTAAGATTGCCAGCTTGTGCATTTCCCCGGTGCAAGCCGGAATCATGCCCTTGAGCACGGCGAACTCCTCATTCATTTTCGATCTCCGGCGCCGCTCGATCAAGCTGTGCGCCGTCTTCCTCGCAATCTTGCGTCCCGCCGCGCTCGTCGCCGACGGCGCCTTCTTCTTGCCCTGCGCCGTGGAAGCGGAGGACGAGGACGACCCGTTCGCCGCCGCCGAGCCAGCCTTCCCTGGACCCGCAGCTCCGGACTTGGCACCGGCAGCCGCCGACGGGGCGTCCTTATCCTTGGCCTTGGCCTCGGCCTCGGCCTCGTTCTGCTGTTGAGCGCGCGGCTTCATCTGGATAATCTTGCGTGACCTAGTCGGCGGCGGCGGCAGCGCGAAGCTCTCGTTGGAAGCAGCGGCCGCCGTCTTTTGGGCAGCCGAAGAGCGCCGGCGAGACTTCACGGTCTCGCTGGGCTGGACCGGGTACGGCTTGTTCGCGTTGACGTGGGGAGGCGAAATGGGCTGAAAGCTGTTGGTGTTGGCCGGCGACGTCCTTCTCGTGTCTTTTGGGGAGACCCTCGAGGCGTCCTGGACGATTGCGGGCGGCGGCAGTTCAAAGGATAGCTGGAGGGAGGCGAGGTCCTTGGAGCCGTCTTGGCCCTTTATGTCCGTGGAGGACGCGGGCGTGGGTAATAATGTTGGACGCGGCATTGTGTGTGATGTGCGTTTGTGCGTGTGAGTTGTGAGTGAGAGACGGCCAACACGAGAGGAAGACGACGAAAGGTATGAGCGGACTCTGAGCGATTAACACGAACAGAGATTCCCCAACCGGACAGGAGCTAGATTGAGAACGGGAAGCCGAAGTTTGAGGGAAATTCTCGAGGCTCTACCGCTGAGGGACAAGTTCGGTTGACGTCTGGTTTTGAGGCTGTGCCCGCGGGCAAAAGACGACGGTCGGTGTAGCAGCACCAGAGCTGTTCTGGGCTTGGCGACAGATGCAGAAGCGCCCCCGGTTGATGCGAGGTGTCTACCAGAAGGGATGCAAATCCGATTCGCTGGCACAGGTTCAGACCCGAACTGGGACTCGAGAGTGAGAAAGAGGCACGCGAGTCTCGAAAGTAGAGGTAGCTGGGGGGGCTTTCTCGTGGAAGAAGAAAAGGTTCGTAGGAGGATGTAGAAGGGGGAAGAAGGTAGAGAGAGAGAGTAAAGGTAATGAACTACAGATACGGCGCACGACCGCCACGACCTTGGACTGACTCTCTCACTTTTCTCTCTTCGCCATCCTTGGCCTTGTTCGTCCTTATTGTCTCTCGTGCCTCGCCTGTCTGTTCTCTATCTAACTACAAACCCCCGGACCCGTGTATCCCGTAGCTGGCAATCTATCAAGGCACTCGCTCGCCTCAGATAGCCGTCAGCCTCTTAGCAGCCGTCTAGCCACCCACGCCCCCCCTCTTCCACATAATGGCCGGGAAGGGTGGTGCTTTCTCCCGGCATAGTGTCAAGAACCCTGATGGAAGTACCTAAAGCAAGAGAAGGAGGGGTGGTTTTGCTCGACGAACTAGCTTGGAGGACAGAGGGCACGCGACATCCCCCCCAGGCCAGAAAGGAAAGGGTCTCTCCCAAAGGGAAAACCCCCGTAAACACAAGCCGGGAGAGTAACGCAAAGTGGACGCAAGAGATACATACAGCCTGGGGGAGAGGAAAAAAAGAATAAGACGAACGAAAAGAGACCAAAGAGCAGAAAGAGAAGAAGATGGTCCAATCAAGAGGGCGGACATGGACTCCTGGGCGAGGAAACGGGCAGGAGAGGGCATCGAGGGTTCAATGGCGTTGAGCCAATCAGAGAGGCGGATTCGAGCACATGGTGTTCCTGAATGGCAACTGAGCAATTGCTCCCCCGGCGCCAAGCCGAGCGCCCGCACGCAAGGTTCACTCTTACACACTCCCCCTTCAGATTTCAGATGAGAATCAGAACCCTCCCTCCAAGACGCACGAGCTCACACTCCCAGTGGACGCAGTAGAGAAGCTGGCTGGTCAAATGAGATGGTCGGTAATTCTCTCCCACAGCTGCCAAGGCCATGCCTACCTACTCACGCTACAACCTGTGGATGCCTCTTAGTCCAAGGACAAGAGGCACGAGGGTAGGCGTTGCAGCGGGTCCATGAAGCTTAGTTTCCGATTGCGACTTTGTCTTTGGGGTCGAGTTGAGGAATCCAGAGAGAGGCACGAGACATGTGCTCAACGTACCGTTGGTCGAAAGAAAAACTCACCGGCTCGCTCTTACACCACTGGGTCCTTCACCAGTGAGCCGCGTTTCCGTGCACTTGTACGAAACGTCCCGGAACCCGTGGGAAATCCCACCTTTCTTCCCCAGCCTCGCGTGCCTGGGCAAAACGTGCCTCTTGTCTGTATCTGTCATTGATGGAGCTGACGTCCCGGTGTTTGAGGTTGATTCGCAGAGCTGAAAGGAGGGTTTGAGCCTACTCGACTCGTATACACACACACACACACACACACACACACACACGACCTATCCGTCCCTACGCAGTAGCTATACTGCACCGATGACGAACCGGGCCCCTGTCCTCTTGTAAAGTGAGCACGTGGGCAACTCTTCTCCTTCGAAGTTGGCCCTTCACATCTTTTCCACCTCTACGACCACGTGAGTTCGCCCACTCACTCGCACGCGCGCTCTGTTGATGAACCTCCCACTCCGACTCGGGAGGTGTACACAGTAAATTCCCCGTTGACCCATCGCCCGTATCGCGGGATATCCCAATTTCGACTCCCATCTTCGTGCGGATTCGATAATTGCCTCAGCCATTACCGGAATAGTCAAATGCAGAAAAAGAGGCCGCCTACCGCATCTTCTATGAGGGAAATTCTCCAAACGATGCAAAAGCTACCCTTCGTACCCTTACGTCCAGAGTGAGCCGCATAGCCGCCAGCTACCTCAGGTCATGATCCGGATTACCTCTTTCTGTCTTCTATCCCCCCCACGGCCTCCGCTCCATCATCCCTCCTTCTCCTTCTGCTTCAAGTGTAGTGGGAGGTAAGCAGGCATAAGCAGGGAAAACCGGGGACCCAGAAACTCTATAAAAGAGGAGCCAACCGCCAGCTTTACATACATACGCCAGATGGCTGTTCTCCAAGCACCCAACTTGGGGCTAGCGGCCGGAAACCAAACCCTTGACCCGCTGCGTGCTATACATTGGTGGGGGAGATCCAGCAAGAAGCTTGGTTCATGTCACCGCCCCTCCACCTCCATCTTTGCGACCTTCATCCGTTTTCTTGGGTTCGCGAACGCGCACGTGACAGTTCAGTATAGCCTTTCGAGAATAAGAGCTCGATTGGATACCTTTATTGAGCTTCGTGGGCCAAGCTGACGGCACAATTGTTTCACTTACACACCGGACCTGAGAAGCAATCATGCTTAGGCCAGACAGCACCAGAGCCGCCACATCACCACACGTCCGGGAAGTTGGACTTGATGCGACCTACGGTTGTTTTATCTCATTGAGGTGTGCTAATTAAATAGACTCGATATTTTCATTTTAGACCGTAGAAAATGCTCGTAAATGCTTCACTCATGTCGTGACGAGTGTCAAAAGAACCCAGATATCCCATACCGTCGCCCAAAATTGACAGAACCGTAAAGGCAAAGACTCCATCACAACGTACATCTCTTCCCCTCCACAATGACACCATTTTAAACCTCGTTACTCGGGTACGCAACCTTGGTCGTGGCCGCAAACTCCTCCTTGATACTCCTCAAGCTCACAAACCGGCTCAGCAAGTTCTGGCTGCCTGCCTTGTCGTTCGTCCCGCTCGCCCGGCCGCCGCCAAACGGCTGCTGGCCCACCACGGCGCCCGTGCTCTTGCAGTTGATGTAAAAGTTGCCCGCCGCATTGCGCAGCTTCTCCTCCGCCACCACCACCGCGGCGCGGTCCTGCGCGAACACGGCGCCCGTGAGGCCGTACTCGCCCGTGCCGTCAATCAGCTCACACACGTTGGCAAAGGCGTCCGCTGGTGCCGAGGCGTCGTCGTAGGTGTGGATGACGAGCACGGGACCGAAGAGCTCAGTGCTCAGGAGCTTGTGGTTCGCATCCGTGGTGTGGTAGATTGTCGGGTGGACAAAGTAGCCCTTTGATGAATCGTACTTGCCGCCCGCAACGAGCTCGAGAGACGAATCGCTCTTGGCAGCATCAATGACACCCGACAGCTTCTTGAACGAGGCGTCGTGAATGACGGGACCCATGAAGTTGCCGTGGTCCGTCGGGTCACCAATCTTGATCTTGTTCACCTCGGCAATGAGACCCTCCTTGAACTGCGGCCACAGCGACTGAGGAATGTACGCCCTCGACGTGGCGCTGCACTTTTGGCCCTGGAACTCGAACGCGCCACGGATGGTCTGCTTCACGGCGTTGTCGACGTCGGCGCTCGGGTGGACAAGGTGGAAGTTCTTGCCGCCCGTTTCACCGACGATACGCGGGTACGATGCGTACCGGCCCTCGGCAACGCCCTGGCCGATGGCACCGTACAGCTTGCGGAAGATAGCAGTGCTTCCAGTGTAGTGAAGGGACGCGAATTTCTTGTGCGACAGCACCTGGTTCGTAATCTCCTCAGGGTTGCCGGGCACGAACTGAATGACATCACGGGGCAGGCCGGCCTCGAGGAGGATGTTGTAGACGAGCCAGTTGGAGGCAATGGCAAAGTCACTCGGTTTCCAGACGACGACGTTGCCGAGCAGCGCGGGGGCACCGGGGAGGTTACCAGCGATAGCGGTGAAGTTGAAGGGGCTGACGGCGTAGACAAAGCCCTCGAGGGCCCTGTACTCTACGCGGTTCCAGACGCCGGGGCTGTTGTGCTGCGGCTGCTGGGCGTAGAGCTCCTCGGCGTACTGAACGTTGAAACGCAGGAAGTCGGCCAGCTCGGCCGCGGCGTCGATCTCGGCTTGCCACGCGTTCTTGCCCTGGCCGATCATGGTGGCGGCCATGATGTCGTAGCGGTATTTGGTCGCGATGAGGTCGGCGGCCTTGAGGAAAATAGCGGCGCGGTCGGCAAAGGGGAGGGACTCCCAGGCGGGCTTGGCTGCGAGAGCCGAGTCGATTGCCTTTGTGACGTCGGAGGGCGAGGCCTGGTGGTATGTTGCTACGGTGGTGTTGTGGTCGGCGGGGTTGACTTGCTTTCCGGTGTCGCCCGTCAAGATCTAGGGGACATTATTAGCTTTACATGGTCGGATTGAGAGCTGTAGAGATGTGTAGGCTTGACTTACCTCTTTACCGCCAACAACGATTGGCACCTCCAAAGGCAGCTTGCTCTGAAGGGTCTTTACTGCGGCATCCAAGCCTTCACGCTGGGCGGAGCCCTTGGCATAGTGGTGCTGTGATAATTGTCAGTCAAGTGCCTCCTCACCAAGCTTATCCGGCGTTGTAACCTACGTTGGGCTCGTTGGAGATCTTTGGGATCTTAAAGGCAGCAAACGTCGCCATTCTGGTGGATGTCCTCGTCGCAGGAGCGGACAGGCGTGTTGTGAGTCTGGTGGTCGGAACTGCAGAGACGCTGCGTCCAAGGGATGTGATGCGGGAAGAGCTTCGAAGCTGGGAGTTGAGAAGCCCAGATGCTCGTGTGGACGCCATGATGGGCAGATATGACAGCTTTGTGCTGTGCTGTGTGAACAGTCTTCTCTATCGGATTGGACGTGACAGGATGGCGAGGCACACACACACACGCAGAACAAAGTGATGAGCTGTGAGCGATGTGTTGTATGGGTGATGGGCAATTGGTTCGCAGAAGACGGGAGAGCAGGTGACACTCGGGGGAGAAGAGAGCAAACGGCGAACCGACTGGCTATTAAGTTTTTTGTAACGTCAGGAAACGTAATGGGATGAGAATTTGGACGAGTCGTGAGACACGGATGTTGTTCCCTGCCACTTTCTGCCTACAAATATTGTACCTTCCCAGCAACCACCGGGCACCTGCGAACGTCGGGTGGGCGCGGGTTAAGAATGCGACGAAGCTGCGCGGGCGGAGAGCTTGTGAGGGGCTGCGGGGGCCCTTGGGGGTGGTGAAATCGGGGGTCCCGGTGTCGCTTTGCTCCCGATAAGCATGTCACCAGCACCACCAGCTGCCTATCGCAACCTTGAACAGCTTTGCGGGGAAGACGTACAGCCAATCATAGGTGCCAATTGTGCCCTGACCTTGAATTTTTGGGGTCGAGATAGCAGTGCCGCAGCGGAGTTGATCGGCTCAGTGGGCCCGAATAGATAGAGGCAATCAGCTCTCCCGATCCCGATCCCCCAAAGTCGGGATCGGATGACTGTTCCGACATGGACATCTTTCGTGTACACATGCCCTATCACAGTCCAAAGGGGTTGATTACAGAAACGAATTACAGCAATAAAGAAAGCTTTGCAATCCAGGTATCGACCTAATGGTTCCGTAGTCGGCCGAGCCCTCATCATTATTACTTGGTTCTTTGAGACAATAAACAAGATTATCAAAACACAGCAAAGGTCGAGCTCCCCCAGATGCACCCGCAAGAGTTGTACATCCGTCTTCTCCCTTTCCTTTTAGCTCCTTCGCTTCATGGGTATAACATAACGTAATGCAACCAACAACGTATCGGATGGTGTCTCCGACAACCGATGCAACAATGCTAGCCAACGTCGAGCGTCGATCATCAACCATCTCTTCCCTTCACCACCGTCAAGTTTGAACAGAGCCTCTTTACTCGCCCTGTCCATTCTCGCGCTCCTGTGCAGGGAAGGGCTCAACCGGCACCGGCTGGCTGGTGTACTTGAGCTGGGGAACAGTGACACCGTAACCCTCCGTGAGACCCTCACGGTTGTGCTGGTCGATCTCGACACGGATGCAAATGTCCAAGCTACCATCGTTGCCGGTGCCGTGCTGCTTTCCGGCTGCCTTGTGCTTGGATCCTGACTCCACCTCACCGACATGGAGAAAGTCGTGTCCACCCTTGCCGGAAATCACTGACCGCGTATCACCGTTCGTCGGCGCAGCCAGTCCATTGTTGGGCGAGTTCTCGGTGAGAATGGCAAAGTTACGGCTCGGCATAGTCACATGGTTGGAGTTAGACGTCTTGCTCGAATCGCCGGGGTCCTTGTCAAAGAACTTGAGCAGCGTCTCGTCCGTATCGTGGTTCAGGTGATGGATCTTGTTTCTCCTGGCCAGCAAGTTGGCAATCGCTGCTGGCGGTGGCTTGTTGGTAATGGCAGAAGACACCACGTTAGCCATGTAGCGGTGGTCGTTCTCCGAAGCAATGTTCAGCTTAGGATGCGAGTAGAATCGGCCCATAGCCGCCAAGTGCACATCGCCGCCCAAGATGGTGATACGGACGGAGAACTCTGACGAGATGGCCTGAAGCCTCTCAACGAGAGCGTTGCGCTCCTTCTTGTGAGTTCTGGCCGTGTAATGGTCGTCAAGGTCGTCGAGCAAATCGACGCTGCCGTCAAAGTGGTTGAAAACACCACCAGCTGATATTGTCAGTAAGCCAAGACTCGTTCTGTCTCCTCATTGTACACTTACCGAGACCGAATCTTCGGTTGAGGAACTTCACAGGACCCATGATGGGGCTGCGGAAGACGTTCTCAAGCCATGTCAGGCGCTGGAACGCAGTCAGTCTCTGCACAAACATCTCACAGGCCATCTTTACTTACTGGATACGCAATTGGGATTCCCAGCAGAAGGATCAAGTGCTTGAATGGGCGTCCAGACTCCTGAGCGCCCTTGAGCTCTTGTCTGAGGCGACTGAAGATCAAGTCATATGTCTCTGGGTAATTGATTTGATGGCGTGTGCGCTGTGAAACGTTATTAGTATGTTGACTTCCAGTGTATGTTCCTCAATGTTCTTACCTCAGTTCGAGCATCAATACCCAGGAAGGCAATACGTGCGCCAAGCCGGGCGAACATGTTATGTGAGTGTTCAGCGACATAGGGCTGGGAGTCTGGTTAGTCGTGCTTTCAGGAAGAGTCGGTACCGATGACCTACACCAGGTTGCTTGCCAACAATGTAGCTGGGATCCGACTTAGCCGGCGCAACAAAGGTATCCATGAGTTGGTTGGGGTCAAGTCCTTGGTTCTCGGCCGTTGTGGTGTGGTCTATCCGTGGATTAGCCCGAATTTCTTCGCCATCAACTAGAAACGTACCCGAGGTGTAAGTGGACGGTGGCGGAGGGAGGTGATGCTGGAACAGCATGTAGTACTTGTGGGCAGTTCCACCAATACCCCTGAACACATCGCATCGCATGAAATCGTCAACATAGGAACCGAATCCGTCAATAATCTAGGTTGTCCGGTCAGAACATCGTTCGCCATGATCTTCGAGCTTCAACGTACATCATGATCATCCCAGATGTTGAGCTGCGCAATCTGGGCATTGGCAGTCGCAAATGGCTCTGTAGAGTACCTGTTGACAATGTTAGCTCTCGACACCGTCATGTTCCCCCCTGGCCATGCACATACCAACGGATGTAGTTCTTCAGGTAGTAATCGTCACAAGCCTGGCGAAGCTTCTCGGGAAAGGGGAAGTGTCTGCGCTTCTTGGGGTTCGAGATCTCGGTCCATTCGCGCAGAGGTCCGTCGACTCGAATTCCATCGTTGTAGATCTGGTCACCTCCTCCGAGCCTATGCGCAAGTCAGAAAAAGCGACCTCGTACCAAGCAGGCCAAGACATTGGACTCACATGACGTGGAATGGTCGCTCTTTGTGGTGTCGGTTCACGTCGTTCCACAAGGCGGGGCCGCTCCAGGCGTCTTCATCAGTGCCCACGCTGAATCCGTTGCAAGAATGGAACATGATGCGCATCGACTCGGTGATGGCCGGGACGAAGAAGTGGTAGCGATCAGGCCGGATGTTGCCAGCCGAGAATCGCATATCGGGGATCGAATACTCCCACTTGGCCTCCGTTTGGCTGAGGGGCAGTGACAGGTCAAAGGCCCAGAAAGTGTTGCGAGGGTCAGAGTAGAGACATTGACCTTGGGTCTCTGAGCCACTGGTGCCCGCGCCATTGGCTGCGCCGGAAACCTCGCCATTGAAAGCACCGTTGGAGCCGTTGACACCGTTCGTCTCCGTAGAGGCGTACTGGCCATTCACTGCGTTCGCAGGGTGCAGAACCAAGTGCGGTGCGAAGCTCTGAGTCTTACCACCGCCCTTCGTGACAATCAAGACACTTCCGTACCACTTGTTCTCGTCCATCCTGCGGTAATTGAGCAGCGGTCCGCAGATGATCTCCCGGCCATCGGGGGGGTCTTGCTCGTGGGCGTGGGTCGCCGCCGCGCGAGGCTCCTCCTGGCCAGCGGCCTCACCAGCAGCGACCATGATGGGCTTGAAGTTGGGCGGAGCATTGGGGTTCTCGGGCTCGACGCGGTCGCGGTTCAGAAAGTCGGCCAGGTCGTTGGTGGTTCCTCGTTCTTGGGGGTCGCGGGGTTGTGCGTGGCTGTGAGCACCGGCGGCATGGCGGAGGAAAGCCGAGCTCTCCTGGTGACGCCATCTGTTGGCCGAGGCATGGGGGTTGTGCTCGATGTCATCGAGGGCTTCTCCGTGGGGATGTGAAGCCATGTCTGCGATTCTGTGATGAATTTGTGATTTTGGTTTCGTCTTTACCTGTGAGCAGAACAGAACAGTCAGATCATGGAAACAGAATGACCAAGAAACATCCCTGGGCAACGGTGGCTCCTTACAATGTCTCAGCGCAAATGAGACTGGCAGGGTCCAGTTTGCGCGCGCCGGCCAGCTCTCAAGAAGCCCAGAGGGTCTCAAGATTTGTTGTTTTACGAACTGAGAGCTCGAAGGGAGGGTATCAATGGCCGGGTATCTGGTGTTGCGACGCCAAACAAAGACGGTAGCTGGAAGGAACCTTGAAGAGAAGGGGGAAAGGTGAAAGATGGGAAGGGGGAAAAGCAGGAAGATTAAACGGAGAGAGGGTGTTGTCGGAATCCCACCACAAATCGCACGAGAAAAGTGTGTTGTGTTGGATTGGATGCGCTGCTGGGCCAAGGTAGCGCAGAGTGACGCGAGCTAGGAATTAAAGTGGCAGGGATTATCGGCGGTGGTGGGGAGAGTCCACAACGCAACCGCTGTGGGCAACGTCCTGGTCTAAAGTGAGCTGCTGCGCTACAGCTGGAAACTCGAGCTAGGGAGGTCCAGGTTCGGTATGAAGCCGCCCAGGCTGCCCTGTCCGTTCGTGCTGTGAGCTGCAGCAGGGTGGAAGGTGGACCGGGGGCGGTTTCTAGGGGTGAACCTGTGACGGACAGTACTATGTACAGTCGGACTGGGTCCAAGGAGAGGCCGTCATGGAGTTTTGCGACACTCTAAGACAGACTCGATGGAGAAGGACACTTTGTGATGGTGGCCTTGGTGGTGCCGTTAGTGGTGTTGGACGAGTGCTGGCTTCTTTGTTGTGGCGATGGCCAACTTTCTGGCCGTCATCGACAAGTGTTCGCCCCCAAGCACAATGCCATACTTGTATTCACAACTGTCTACCAGGTAATAGATATGGTAAAGTAGGTACCTTTGAAGGCGGCCTCCGAGATTCCCCTTGATTTGTATCCCTCGAATTGAAGAGGCCAGCGCCAGGAGGACCGGGCCTTCACCTCAGTCCAAGTCCGCAATCCTTGCTGCAGCAAATCAACCCACCTGACTCCATGCAGAGAGACATGCAGTATGCTAATAAGCTAATTCCTGTGTAAGAACCAGGTCCGAGGTCTTTCCATCTGATCCTATTCGTGTGTGAGTATCCGTAATACTACGCGTAGACCACCTTGCTCTGCATCAACCCACACTACGTAAGTTAGGTAGCTTCCTGCTGCCTTCAAAAAAAAAAAAAAAAAAAAAAAGTAAGCAACGACCCGTCTCCTGCCATTGGTTTTGAGGCTTATCGGTTGACAACGTGTTGGCGTTCCATCATCTGTATGTCCCCCTCCTCTTCTCCCTCGTCCCTCACCTCAAGTCGATTGAATATGCGCGTTGCGTAGCCTTGGTTTTTGGGATGAGGCGAGGGCCGTGAGTGGTCGGTGACAGCCGGACAGCATTGGAGCGTTGAAGTGTGCGGACGGGCGTTCCCCCAATCTCTCAGCTGCCAAGGTCAAGGTCCTCGTCAGCGATCTGTTTGCTGGCGCGTGTGCATCTTTGGGGGGGGCTCTGGGGTTGGGATGACGATGAGTTAAGTGGCCAGAGCTCCCACAAACGGCCAACCCATGGGCCATAACAGACCAGCTCGCATTGGGTAAACACGCCGGTTCCATGCTTGCAGGGCAGCTCCCGGGCAAAAAAAGCCAAAAGGCACCACTCACACATCGCACAATGTAACGCCGACTCTGGCAATGGCTCTCTGTGTTTCTGTCTTCCTCCAAAGAAGTACGTAGTGCGCATCGATCAGGAATACATGTGCGCTAAGTGGGTGAACCGATTCGAGAGGTAAAATTTAGCGGCATGCAAGGAAGGTGTGCCGGTATGGGAGGCCTGTGAAGAAGGACTGGTCGATGGGTCAACGGGTCAATAAAGGGTTAAACCGTAACAGTAAATAACAACGTGCCGCGGCAAGCTGCTGCTACCAAGGTTAAGGTAAAGAGAGGCTGATGGAGACTGGCTGGAGCTGGATTGGAGTGAGACTCGACGGGAGTCTGATGGTGTTGTGATTGAGTGCCACGGGTTTGTTGATTGATACGCCCAAAGTGGCCTGGTCTGGCGGGTTGAAATTGACACCTACGTCAGGACTTGTGGTTCTTTGGAAATTGAAACAGGAATGCCCCCACAGGGGCCAAGGCTGAGATGACCCACTCCGCGTCCCTCCCATCCTTGCTTCTTAACTTCTTAGTCCCTGATATCCCTGTCCTCCGCTGCAGCTCTTGGCCCCCGGTCTTGGTCCGCGGACTCGGCGTGCTGTTTGCCTTATGCCACATCCCGTACAAACGGATTGCCGTTGCCGGTTGACTCCTTGGCGGTCCGGTATTTCTTTTCTCTTTTGTGCTGTTCATGTTCTGTTCGCGGCTGCCCAGCACCGGTGCTTGCAGGCGTCAGACCGCTCCGGGCCCGGCGAGTAAAGCCACCCCACCGCCCGACCGGCTGCAGTCTTGGGCCGGGTCAAGTGGATCCCGTAGGTATTCGTCACATCGGAGCCGGCGAAACACATCGTTATCAACGGGGTCCCAGAGCCAGACGCAATGGCACCACCCGTAATCAGCATCTGCTGAATTGTGACCACCTCATACTGAGAAAATGAGGGGTGATAGCTGAGGCTGCTGGGCCTCTTTCGCCGTCAAGGCTCTTGAATGAAGTGTGAAAAAGCAAGACATCTCATTACTCTTGGTTCCGATGAGGTTCGGCAGCTTCAGGAACCTCTATACCGATGTTTCTTGGGCTTCCCGTGGAACCCAGCTATTTCACAGTCGATAAGTATGTTTCCAAAGTTGGGTTGAAAGTGATTGGTTCCACGCTGAAATCAAGGCAAGTGTGCACGTTGAACCTCCAATAATCAAGGAGTATCAATGTAGCTAAGCGCACTTACATCTTCCGCGTAAAGAAGCTGCTCAAAGATGAGGCTTTGGTTCCGGGTATCGTAATCTTCGCCACCTTCATATACTCGGGCGCCGCCATACAGAAGTAGAAAGAGGTGGCTGGATATAATAAACTAGGGGATGCACGATCGTTGACGGAGACAAGGGCGTGAGTGAGTAGTCAACGACCTTCTGTGAATGAAAATTATATCATCAACGCTCTCCGAGTCTTATCCAAGGCTCCCGATGCCGTCAAGCTCTTGCAGAATTCTTTCCGAGGTTCTCTGATCCGGCATATACACTGTCTGACATTGGATCTGGTCTCCATGCCCGAGAAGAATAGTTCACTAAGTCTGTCTTCGAACATCAACCTTTCTCTCGGATCGGATCAGCTCAGGGCGTAAAATGGCGAAGCAAGTAGTCTCACTACTTGATCTGCCTAGGCCAGTGGTTCTTGCACTGGTCTTCCCCTGTTTGCTACATTTTTATGCAGATTTTGATCCTGCCATGCAGAATGGCCTTCCCACGATTCACGGTGGCCATAGCGGCTCCTCAATGCCTATCAAACTACACACGGTCACAAGGAGTGGCCAAGATGGCATGCCTGGCAGGCCCCGCAGGTACCGAGCCATCTACGTTGGCCTCATATCGAGGATTATATTCCACACTAGCATTCATACAGTTTCACTAGCTAGGTGCCCTTACCTCTTGATCGACTAATTCATATTTGGCGGAAAGCGGGCGTTCTGTGTCACTATATCATAGAGGCAGGCGACGTATGTCATTGAGGGCAGGACATCTGCAAGTTGTGTAAAGGCCGCCTCTCTATCGAAGACCAAGAAGGCCAAGTTGCCCAATTTTCGAGAATACTCGTATAGAGATGATTACAGAGTCCGGAATTCACACCAACCTGAAGAATTACGATGAGAGTGATCATCGGGCTTCACTGACTTGAAAGACTAACCTGGGAAAGTTCGAGCTTCCAAAGCAACTGCCGAATACCATGTAGACGACACAACAACAGGATAGCAGTGCTGTGTCATAAAGCCATTTAATCATTTAATGTATTTACCTCGACAAGAGATGTTGATCTCATGAGACGTTCGGGTCGTGCTCATATCCAGATTGAACCTGAGTGCAGGGAGACAAGCATTCAAGTAGCCACTACTGATGTAAGCTCGCTTCCAAACAGCCACAACCTCCGTATGTTTTCATTTCTTTAATGAAAGCCTAACTGTTGTACTGAAACTCCTGCTTACCCCCCAAGTCAGTATATACATATATATTGCAATATCCTACTCTAAGCACTCTTCTACCAACGCCACTGCGGCCGCGATTCTCTTAGCGACGGAAGGACGCATAGGACTACCATCTTTTCGTTCATCCTTGACTGGGGAAGGTCACTAATCCTATCAGATCAGGGTACAGCATGACCAATAAGTTTAGGTTCTATCTATAAGAACAACAAATAAACATTTTACTAGTTGTCATTCCGGCAGTATTCTAGCAGTAATACTCGTGGCGTCAATAACAGACATATTGGGCAGCAACGTCAATATTCCTCTGCGATGATGTAGTTACAGGCCTAGTCAATGCCATTAACACTCGACTTCCCAGTTATAAAGCCAAATTTCCGACTTTCAAATCTGTACCTTACCTCTTCTTCGTCCCTTCAGGCCTTTAGCTTCTGATCATCTCTTGTTAAATACCTTCCCAGACAATGCCGGCCTCTACATATCAATTCATATACTCATTCCTTGCTGCATATGGGTGCCACTTGACTTCAGTATGTCTCAAGCTTGGCTGCGTGCTAGTCGGACTCTTTATAGCCTTCCCAATCTCCTCTTGACCACCCCGACGTTGATCTAGTCGATTGAGGAGGTCATCGATGCCTGAAACTCGAAAGGGTACTTCAACGAAGCCATGGGTCCAAGGTACTGCAAGTAGGTAGCAGGAGTCAATGAATCACAATGGCTTCTATTTCTGTTGTAATTGTACCTACTGACTAAGATGTTGCAAGTTGTGTCGAGGAGTACGGTCTTGGTTCACGAGCCGTGTGGAAGATTCACAAGCTACGAAATCGCGTTCCCCACTTAGATCGACTCACGACTCTTGGTGAACCATGATGCCTGCCACTTCTGCCTAAGATCCGTGCTCTTCGGGTATCGTGCCTGAGAAATTCCTCGCTCAAAAATGTCTGTTGGTCGTGATGTGTCGGAGACCCATCTCGTGTCTTGTGGATACGTGCCATTCTCGGCCTAGCATTCAACTTATAGAGTTTAATCCGCTGCTTCTGCCTACCAACGCCCCAGGCTAGAGATGGCTCCTGAAAAGGTTCAAAAGGAATTGACAACTCTTCACCTGAGGCAATGTGGTTGAATCGCCAAAGACTCACTGCTCAAAGAGCAAAAAACGCGATCTCTCTATGATACCTCGACACGGATTAGTTATTCTATTACTGAGTGTCTTGTCACTTGCTTCTTCACATTTCGCCCCGTCACGCAACATGTGCTTAAAATCAAACGACTGTCCGAAACACTTCTGCGAGCACGAATGTCTCTATAATGCAGCGTTGAACGGCAACACGCAACGGCTAGTGGAGCTCATCCTCAACGGAGCCGACGTCTCGCAGACATCGATGCCTGGCCGACACCAGTTGATCCACTTCACCGGGCGGCCAGGAAGCGCAGAAGCCATGAAAGCCCTGCTCGACGCCGGAGCCGACGCTTCTGCAGCCTCCTACGACGGCCAAACGCCTCTGCATATGGCGGCCGCCGACGGCGGAATCGAGCAAGTGCAAATGCTCATCGGGGCCGGAACCAACGTCAACGCCCGCACCATGGACGACGAGACCCCGTTGCACCAAGCGGCCAGGGCGGGAGAGGAGGAGATCGCCAAGCTGCTCATCGCTGCTGGCGCGGACGTCACTGCCAGAGACTGCTACGGACAGTCGCCCCTGCATCATTCTGCTAGTCGCGGCCACCTCGGCGTGGTCCAGGTGCTTCTCGACGCCGGCGCCGACATGAGCGCCCTCGACAACAAAGGAGACACGGCCGCCCTGCACTCCCTCTCCGACGCGCCGGCCTCGGTCAAGCTCATGATAGAAAAGGGCGCCGACGTTTCCGTCCGAGGCCAGGGCGGCGACACCCTGCTGCATCGAGCGGCCTCGTTCTCGGCGGAGCTGATAGGACTCTTGCTCGGGGCCGGCGCGGACCTCGAGGCGACGGATGACGAAGGAAAGACTCCCCTACACGCCGCAGCTGCGTGGGGGGGCGCCGAACATGTCCGGATCCTGCTTGCGGCCGGGGCTGACATGGGTGCGAGGACCAACGACGGCGAGACGGCGCTGCACTTGACGGCGGGGAGCGCAGATGCCCTGTTCCTGGGGTTTGGACATGAGTCTGATGCCAAGGCTAGGGTTCTCCTTGACGCTGGTATCGATGTGAATGCGAGGACGGTGTCAGGTCAGACAGCTCTTGATCGGGCGAGAGAATGCAATCGCCCGGCGGTTGCAGAGGTGCTTCTTCATGTAGCAAGTGCATAACCTTGAGAGACATGGGACTGGTATTCCCTTGACCGTTACTGTACCTGACAATCTGGGTTGATGAATAGAAGTTGGCAGAGTCCTTCCTGTTGCTTAATGGATGAGCCGCTTGAATTCGTATGGTGTTGTTACCTGCGCTGAGGAACACAAGCGAATCCCGCAATGATGGCTCTTGTCATTTCGATGCAGACCGAAGTTGCGATTGAAGTTGTGAGAATTGGGGATTATTCGGCCTTGGATGAATGGGCACTTCTGCCTGGTGTATTAATATTGGATATTGAATGAACCCCGCCAAATTCATGGCCCCCGGAAAGCGCGGCCAATTAAGCACGCGAATTCCCCGCCAGCGCAGCTGGAGCTTACTTGTACCTTGACCGGGACCTTTATTCGACCAATGTAACCCGCGGTGACAGGGCTCTAGCCGTCCGAGACCTCCGAACCCTTGTGTCCCATGTTTCCGTACGGATACCTTCCATTACCATAGCTTACCTTACTCCGTACCTTCATGTTGACTTTCCTCCCTCCACCTCCCGCCCTGACCAACCCTCACTCCGACCACGTAGCACGCGACACACCCTCCGATTCGAGAGCCGACAAGACCGCTCGCATACGAACACCACCAGACAATAGATGCAGACGCCATGAACAGCTCACGAGCGGGGAGACCATCAAAGTCTCCTCTGTTCCTAGTCATCGCCGCAATCCTCATCTTCGCAGTAGCCGTAGAGGCCTCGTACGGCGATCGGTTACCAGAGTTCCGAGAATGCGTCCAAGTTGGTGCCCACCACATACACACACATAGGCGCGCGCGCAATCTTGTGCTCGCGCTCGCAACTAGCAATGCTTGAGAAAACTCTCTCTAGTGTCTCTTGTGACTGACATACTGCTCTGCGCTTCCCTCGCGATCCAGGTCTGCCACGATGAGAACTGCGCTCCCGGCAAAGATGCTACGCCAATCCGTACGTTTCTCCCCCTTCCTGCCCGCACACCACAAGGTGACTGAATAGCTAACACATGAACCCCTACCAACAGCCTTCCACCGCCGCCTCCTCCTCTGGACCTGCGCCTCCGAATGCGACTACACCTGCCAACACATAATCACAAAAGAGCGCCTCGCCGCCGGCGAGCGCGTGGTCCAGTTCCACGGAAAATGGCCCTTCCCACGCATGCTGGGCATCCAGGAACCCGCCAGCACCCTCTTCAGTCTGGGCAACCTCTGGGCCCACCAGAACGGCTGGCGCAAGCTCCGCGCCGTCATCCCGGCGTCGTACCCGCTGCGGCCCTGGTACGAGTGGCTCGCGGGTGTGGGCATCGCCTCGTGGACGTTCAGCGCAATCTTCCATACGCGCGACTTTGTCGCCACGGAGCAGCTCGACTACTTTGCTGCGGGCGCGAGCGTGCTGTACGGGCTGTACTACACCGTGGTGCGCATCATGCGCCTCGACCGGCCGACGCCGCGCCGGAGGTCGGTCCTGCGCGCGTGGACGCTGCTGTGCGTGCTGCTTTACGCCGGGCACATTGCCTACCTCAAGGGCGTGCGGTGGGATTACACGTACAACATGACGGCCAACGTTATTGTCGGCGTGATTCAGAACCTCATGTGGTTGTGGTTCAGTTTGAACAAGTATAGGCAGTCACGGAGGACATGGGCCATCTGGCCGAGTATCGTTGTCGCGGTGGTCGTCATGGTCATGAGTCTGGAGCTGTTTGACTTCCCACCCGTGTGGGGTGCATTGGATGCGCACAGTTTATGGCACCTTGGCACGATCCCGCCAACGGTACTCATGTACAAGTGAGTCGGCAGTGACACCAAGATTAGCTTGCTGAGTTGACCGCTAACACTTGACTAGCTTCCTGATCAAGGATGCGCAGGACGATATGGCGGGCAGTGAGAGGTTAAAGTCTTGAGCCGTCATATGATTTTCGAACGATCGTTCCAAAGCATGCTGCCTATATGGGCGAACGAAAAAGAACGGAAGTGGAAAGACTGGTGAGCCGAGGGCTGGGTGCCAGCCAGGAAGCTTCAATGAGGTATGAAATGACGGGGCTAGGCCGCAGAGGCAGAGCATCACGCTACAAAAAGACCGTGTAATCTTTAGCAAGTAGACTAGGTTTTTAATGGTCTATTTTGTCATGTTGTCCGGTGTCCAGTTAGGCCGGTATAGTAGAGGATAATATGTAACGAGTATGACGGCTTTCTCTCTGGCAAGCAGTACTAGTATAGTATAGTATAGTGTGGGCATCGTTTCCCGTCCACGTAATCTCAAAAAGCTTCCTATACGCAACAGCAGCAATTTCGCGATTTGGGTACAACACAACCCTTGCTCAACTCAGCATCCCGCTGGGCGTCTCTTTCTCATACACCAACAATCACAGTCTCGGTCTTGAAGACCTGAATGGCACCATCGCCCCAGATGCCGATGACGGACAGCAGGAAGCCGACCGAGGCGACGGCAGACTGCACGAGCTGCGTCTTCCTGAACCCGTCCACCTCGCCGCGGACCTCCTCGCCGTTGAGCGCCTCCTCCTCGGCCTCAGCAGCCGCAGCCGAAGACTCGTCGCCGCTCGCGCTGCCGGCGCCGTCGCTGTGGGTGTCGCCGAGGACCTCGTAGCTGGCCTCCATGCGCGCCTCCTGGCGAGCGATGCGCGCGGCTTTACGCTTCTGCTCGCGGTCGCGGGCGGCCTGGCGGCGGGCGGCGATGGATTCCTTGGAGGACTCGGGGCTGCTTTTGAGGGCGTAGGGGGTGATTTGCTCGGCGAGACCAGAGGTGAGGGTGAGGACGGAGGCGTAGACGAGGTAGGGGTGGCGGAAGGCGCGCGGGGAGAGGAAGAAGGCGAGGAGGAAGGAGGTTGCGGATACGCCGGTGAGGAGGCGGAGTCGGGCGGTCGCGGTTGGGTAGAGGTTCTTGAAGGCGCGGAGGGCGTCGGAGGCGGAGGGGAGGGAGAGGATCGAGGGGACTGTTACGGCTGAGAGGGAGTAGGAGAGGCCCTATTGCGCGCGCGTGTGTTAGTATGATTTGGGTGAAGCATTTCATAATTGGGGTACAGGATGGCTCGGCATCCCGGAGCGTCCTGAATGCGGGGAGTTGGAGGGGGAGGGGTGGATGGGGATGGGATAGTGGCGTCACTGATGATGGTCCGACGGTGAACCGAGCTGCGGTGGGAGGGCGGTGAAACGTACAGTCAGAAGACCGAGGGAAACAGTTCCCACGAACTTCAGGAGAGAGACTCCTTTGGAAGCCATGGTGGCTGGTGCGGAATTCGTGAAGGATTCGGAAAGGAGGCGTTGGAGGTTGGCGGTCGATGGGCGGGAAAGGATGTAAAGTCGAAGTTCGTGAAGGTGTGAGGCACGGGATGTGTCGTCAAACTATCAGTCGGTAGGGTCGCTGCTTGCTGCTGACCGGCAAGGCGGGGCGGGGAGGGGCGGTATAGCGTATTACTCTTTGTTGGACTGGAGTGACTGGGAACCTGATGTGACCTAGGTTCTGGGGGATAGGCAGATGGTTTCCGGCCTGACCAGTTAGGCGTCATAAGATGGTAAGATGTTTTGGGTAGGTGGAAATGGCCGGATTGACTGACTGACGCTGACGCTCATTGACGACGTTTCCCGCCTTGCCGCTTGCCGCTCTTTCGCGCGGGAATAAGTCCTGAAAAAGAGAGGGGCTGTTTCCGTTGCTTGTTTGGCGACCACCTGGTTGGCCGGGACTGCGGGTGGGTACCTGTGGTGGAGTTTCCCGTCAGCGGTATGGGGTACTGTGAGCTTAAATCATCCGTGCGCCTTGCATTAGTCCCGAAGCTGGCCCGAGGTTGCACAAATCACCTTGTCTCGCCTGCACAAAGAGCATAATCACGTCTTGTTCTCTCGACTTCATCTTCTTTATCTTTACCGAGCTACCTAGACGATACCATACTGCCAAGCTGGAAAGCTGGAGACAAGACGCCCTTGCTCCGTCGGCCATCGATCTCCCAGAAGCCGGTCATACCCAGTCTTGAGCTTTCTCCTTTCATCTCGTCGACTTAAAACGGGTGTCGCCTCTCCGGAAGTGTCAAGCCATGTCTTTGTGCGAGAAGATGAGAAGAGTGAAATATTTAAATCCATTTTGTCATTATAGGCTGTGCTTGCTACATTCAGGTTCCTCGACACACCTTCATCCGCCAGCTTCACCAGCTACTTCAACATCGCCTACCCCGCCGACCCCCCAAGGTTCAGGTTATCTTCGGACCTTGCGCAACTTCAAGCCTCCGCCGCAGGAGGTCTTCTCGCGTGGATCAGGTAGCTGATCATGGTTAGTTACGTTCGATATGAGGTAGAGCTGCAGGCAAAACAAATTTTGGCTCGATCCCATCGGTAGGAGACTTACAGGGGTGTGTAGGCGTGAATTCTTCTATCCTTCAAGTCATTCCTAACTTGAATGAGGAAAACGTTGACTTCCTCCTTTGTCCATTCGAGGGCCCTGGTCAAAGGAGCCATACTCCATCCCTCGATACCCTCAAGGAAATTCTCGAGATTCCACTCGCCAAGCTCCTTGTAGTGGGGATCCTTTGGCCAGTTGTTGAGGGGCCACTTGTACTTGACCATTTCGATATCCACGAACCCGACTTCCTTGAGTATAGGGATCAGGCTGGGGATATTGATGAACGGCCGACCGAAGATGTTGCAGGCCTCCTCGATCTTGTCTACCCACTTGATGAAAGCGTGGTCAGATGTCAACGTCCCATCGTCACAATCTGGCCGCATGTGACCTTCAAAAAGCTCGACGTAGCCACCTGGCGTAAGGTTGCTGACAGGTCAGTGTACAGACTCAATGTAAGCGGATCCGGAAATCATTTACTTGAATGTCTTTTGGAAAAACTTTTTCCAATCACCGATGCTTGAGGTCATACCACGAATGTGGATGTAATCAAATGGCTGACTGAAGGTCCAGGGCTCTTCAGCATCATCGACCTCGAACTTGACATTGGGAGGGACGCTATAGTGTCATTAGTATATTACACGTGCGGTAATGCGAGAGGAATCGGATCGTACAATGCCGTGGGGACTGGTGTGAGATCTATTCCGAGCACCTATTGCAAAACTTAGCGCTTTTTGCATGGAATTGGTGCTGGTGTCCTTACCTCGGCCTCGGGGTGTTCATCCCCGAAGTCAATGGCCCACAACCCGGTTCCAGTTCCAATGTCAAGCACACGCTGGGCTTTGTTGTTCTCATTCGGGGGAGCAAGACCCAACTTGTAGTCGAGCGTGAGTAGATACAGGTTGTGCTGAAGATCTGTAAAGGACATGAGATAATGCGGAAGAAGAAACGTGTAAGGGTGAGGTACCCAGCCTGTCACTCTCCTTCTCATCATTCGGATAGTTGTATTCTGTATTCATTAGTGTCGCAAAAACCACGTGGCTAATTCATCGACTTACTGCCTTCCTTGTACTTGTGGTACGTCCTCCCGTTCTCGATACGATGCTGGAGGATTGAGCTGGACAGACTTGTACTGGAAGACGCGATGCTCTAGATTCATTAGGCCGCTCATACCAGACACAGGGCTTCATTTCCCATAGACTTACAGTTGCCCTATCAGATGAAGCATCATCGCTGAACTATGCGGTACTTAGTACTGAGCAGGCGCTCATTTAGGAGCTGCGACTTACATCGTCAGCCGCCATGACGGGGCCATTGTCAGGCACCGGCTCGTTTGTATTGTCCGCCATCATGAAATAAGTTTTGTGAGCCCTCGGTGTGTATCCGGAAGATTTACAACCCGCTCAGTAATTACAGCAAAGACAAAACGAGGAGCGCGACGGATACATGAACGATTTTATCGAATCTGTGGAACAAGAACTGCTACCCCTCTTCTGGAATGGAGACAATTATGCATGTTGGTGACAAGGATTATTGTTTGCTGTTGGAGCCTTCTTCCAACAGAACCAGGGTTTTGAACGTATCAGAATCAGCTGCCCATCGTTCTAAGACAAAAGCAGCAGGAGTGTACGATGTGGCGAATCAGTATTTTATCTCGTTGGCCGGTTTATATCGAGTTGCAGATTCCACCTGACCAACCCGTGCCGCGGCCTTGGGCCGTTGCATTAGTTCGAGAGACAACAAACGACCCAATTTGTATGTCTTCATGAGCGACATGTGGGCCTTCAAACTTCCAACACAGGATCGCAACAGAGTCGCGAGGTTGAACGTTACTTGAAAATCTTCTTCCTCTGCCGTATCTGGGGCATCTGGTATCAACTTCGTCAACATTCTTCAGTTCATCGCGGCCTGGTGCCCTCAACTATCAATCTTAATTCAACCTCTCAGGCTTGCGCGCATGTATCAACTGACTACTGATGGTTAGAAGAAGAAGTGAGAGCCGCCCCGCCGGGTTGAATTTACTCACATGGGAATGTATGCGTGTATACATCTGTTTCTCAGATCGTTCCGCACGCCAACGAGAAACATGTCGACCGCTTCCCGTGACCACTTGAGGGCCCTAGTGAAAGGCGCAAGTGTGAAGCCTTCAATCCCTTCCATGTAATTCTCATGGTTAAAATGGCCGAGGGTCTGATAATGCTCATCCTTGGGCCAAGTATTAAGAGGCCACTTGAACGTGCTATACGTCACATTGACGTAGCCGATCTCTCTCATGACTTCCACGAGGGATAGCACATTTACGAAAGGGCGCCCCATGATATTGCATGCCTCTTCGATATAATCTGCCCATCTTGATAGTGAGTGCTCCCGAGTTAGCGTCCCGTCGTCGGACAAGGGTCGGACATGACCTTCTTGCAATTCAAACCAACCCCCGGGCTCAAGATGGCTTACAGAAATCAGTGGATTACTTGTTTGAAGATGAGGAGGGCCCTTACTCGTAGGCTTGCTGGAGGAGCTTCCTCCAGTCTGATATAGACGACGTCATTGCACGGCAGTGTATGTAATCGAACGGCTCACGGTATGTCCACGTCTCTTCTATATCGTCAACCTCAAATTTGATGTTGGGTGGGACGCTAAATGATGATATCAGCATGTCAGAATGGTTTTCCATGGGTATTTAGTCCGCACGCGGTCGTTTGTGTAGGCGAAAGATCTACGCCGTATACCTGATCATAGCTTCAGCTTCCGCGGAAATCGACTGCTCCTAGATTGCTAACCACTGCTTCGGGGTGTTCATCGGCGAAGTCAATAGCCCAAATTCCCGTACCGGTTCCAAGGTCAAGCACGCGATTGACTTTTGAGCCTGGCTCGTTTGGCGGAGCGAGTCCCAGTCTGTCGTGAAGGGTGAGGAGGAAGAGCTCGTGTTGGAAATCTGGAGAAAAGGTTGGATGACATGAGCTCGACTCGACGTCGCGATCTGAAGGAGAAAATGGTAGCATATACCTAGCCTATCCATCTCCCGTTCGTCATTAGGGTAGTTGTATCCTAAGATGTAAGGTCAGACGACTGAAAGACCGGGAATATCAGATTAACATACTTCCCGCTTTGTATTTGTGGTAAGTTCTCCCATTCTCATGGCGGTGTTGAAGGATCGAGCTCGATAAGCTGTGAGTTGAGGATGCGATACTCTGCGGGGAAAAGTTATGCGCTTGCTTCTTGTGTAGATGTCAAACATTAATCATTGCTTACCGTCAATCTTTCCGATGCGTTATCCTCCGTAATCTGCAGCTGACTTCAGTATCGTCAAATCGCATTAAGGTATAGCGGCCATCTCACTTCATCAACCACGATGACCGGTCCGTGGTTAATCGATGGTGCGGATTGATCGTTGCACATGATAGTTGCTGAGTTCCGAAAGGCAGTGTAATGACTGCATCGCTAGCTCCCCTGGCTTTGACAGAGAGATTGACGGGAATCGAGATCCAAATGGCTGCGAACCATTTATCTGTGGTGGAAGAGGATTCCGCCCCTCTTCTTGGCCAGACATGGATTTGCGATGTTGGTGACAAGGTGCCAGGTTGGTGCGTGGGCACTGCTTGCTCCAACGGCACAGGAGCAGGCCGGGGTGGCCTTACGCACGTATCATGGCGGATACTACAGGGGAGGCAACGATTGATATGTATGGTAGCAGGTTGGTAGAAATCCTATCATATCCGAGTACCCAAGCCGTCGATGCCCGTCAGTAGATGATAGCTCTAGGCCGCGATCCTTCACCGTCCTGTGGGACTCACGATCGGTTGAGCGAAGGCACAATATTGAGTGCAGCGAATCCATCAAAATTACCATCGGCTCTACCCTCATCTTATAAATGTGGACTTCTACCTGTCATGGAGTATGCCTTAAGGCCTGGTCACTCACAGCGCATTATGCGATCTCACTATCTGTCGACAGCAAGAATTGATCCACATATGGCACGCGAAACGATGATGGTGAAGACAGTATGCAGCTTATATTCCATTGTGACTGACAGGGAAACCTGCCACCCACATAAATAGAAGAGAACATTGCAGCTTCTCACTCCTGCACAAGAAAGCATGCACCACCAAGCCAGTGCCTCGCTCTTACGACGCCGGCTCGGCTGCCTTCTCTTCAGGTTTCCTCCCGTAAATCGAGTAGCTTTACTCCGCATCAGTACCAAAGACCTCAAGTGGGAAGTGAAAACTTACATTGGCCAGTAGGCATGAATGTTCCGGTTCTTCATGTTAGTCCGTACCTCCGCCAGAAAGACGAGTACTTCCTCTTTCGTCCAGTTCAGTGCTCGGGTATAGGGCGCCAGCGTCCAACCCTCGAGGCCTTCCATACAGTTGGCATGTGTCCAAGACCCAAGCTCCTTGTAATGGGGGTCCTTGGGCCATTCATTGACAGGCCACTTGTACGTCTTGATAGTCACATCGACAAAACCGGCCTCCTCCATCAAGACTGCGAGGTTAGGAATATCCACGAAAGGGTGTCCGAAGATCTCCACCGCCTCGCCGAGTAGTTTCAGCCACTTCACCATTGCATGCTCTGGCTTGAGGGTGCCATCGTCGCAATGAGGATCGAGATCGGTCTCCTGGATTTCCAGATATCCGCCGACCTCCAAGTGCCTGCTAGAGTTAGCCTATGCCTGTCATGTCTTCTATCGAAACTCACTCGAAGGCTTGCTTGAAAAATCTAGGCCAATCGCATATACTCGAAGTCATCATCCTGGTATGGATGTAGTCGAAGGGTGTCGAATATGTCCAAGGTTCTTCGATGTCGTCAACTTCGAACTTCACATTCGGAGGGAGGCTATGACGTGTGAGCTTCAGCATCTAGCAAAGGGTCACAACTTCAAGACGCACGCTGTTGACTGGACAGGCGATAGATCTACGCCGGAGACCTGATTGATCTCATTAGTTTCTACTACCTAGGATGATGATAGTGGCGCTTTCGCCTACGTACCTCCGCCTCGGGGTGCTCATCGGCGAACTCGATTGCCCAAAGACCGGTGCCTGTGCCGACATCGAGAACACGCTTGACACCAGAGTCCTTAGCATTGCAGGGAGCAAGACCAAGCTGGTAGTAAAAGGTGAGGAGGAAGAGATTGTGTTGCAAATCTGGACACAGAGTCAGACGGCTTAGCCATACGACAGAGAGATTGAAGAAACTCACCTAATCTGTCGGCTTCTTTCTCGTCGTTCGGATAACTGTACTCTACGCAAGTTAGTTTCCGCACTAGCAGAGCATCTGAGGCCTATGTCGAGAGACTCACGGCCATCTTTGTACCTGTGGTAAGTCCTGCCGTTCTCAACTCTATGGTTGAAGATGGAGCTGCTCAAGCTGGTGGTGGATGATGCTAAGCTCTGAGCTGGTTGTGAGAAACGGTTCAGGTGCCGGTTTTGAACAATGAGAGTAGTGGCATACGGAAGCGCGGTCTGACGAGCTGTCATCCCAATCCTGTTCAAATTGTTAGGGCCTATTGTTCTACTGAAGCTGAGAACGTCTTACCCCCTCTTCAGCGGCAATCACAGGGCCTGTGGCGGCTGGACGATTAGCTTCGTCGTTACACATTGCGATGATCCACAGATATGCTGTCTGACAAGAGAAAGATCACGTTTGGACGACGTCGAAGAAACAAATCATTATCAAATTTGGACTTGCGACTCTTTATGAATCTAGAAGGTGTGTGTTTTACCCCTCTCCTTGGCCAGGACTGAATGCAGTATAATTGCGGCACAGATGCAGCTCGCTCGTGGGAAACTGTTTGTCTGCTTCCTCAAGGCTCGTCACGTACGTAGCATTCCTGGGATGAAATCAATAGGCGGAATATACGATAAAATGCAGGGTATGTGGGCTTGGGGCGGATCAGAACTGGGGGTGAGTTCCCCTGTGATACCCAATAGTTCAGCCCGCCCAGCCGCGGAGATGAGCCGCTGCATGAGGTTGGTGAAGGGTCGATGCTGTGACAGGGGAGACTTTCGCATATTCTTGCTTCAGATCGTACGACTTGGCAGGCGACAGACTCATTGTCAAGCAGGAATTCGAAAACATCAGTGGAGAGCCGTCAACTGTGTTTTCTTCTCTCACGTGGTAACCTTTTGAGGTCCCAGTATGTGGTCGGAGCCCTACCGCAACGGCCTCGATGAACCCTTGGTGAATATGTTACCGCCGCCAGGTCCTTGGGACGACAACGCTGAAGAAATGACAGAACCGAGCATCTGTGGCTCCATCTCGTTAGGTTTCGACACCAAAATGATGTATCACTTTTCGTAGAGGTATCGCCTCACTTCAAAATCAGTGATGACAGGTCCAACAGACCGTTCAACGGTTCACTAACACATCTGAAAAATAACATGATGCGGTTGAATCTGACCTGACCGGAACACGCTGGGAGTGGTTCGGAAGAGGGCTTACGGGGAGACGGTCGTTCATCCGGAGACTAACATTAGGATTGCGCGCTAAACTAGGCCCCGGACGGGAGGGTAAGGTGCGTTTGCTTCTAGAGGCTACCTAACAAGCCTCATACGGAACGTACCTGGGGCTGAGCAAGGCAAGAGGAAACAATCTCTTTCCTCTGATCTCGTCCACCAATCAGCAGCTCCTTCCCCAACCTGTGTCTTTGGTTTCCCCGTGATCCCATCGTGACCGAGCTCTGGATGAGTCAGCAGCGGAATAACTAATCATTTGGGTTTGACATGCCGCGGAAGGCTCCGCACTCGGGGTCTATCCTTACCTTCCGTTGCCGAGGTCCCAAGGTCCGACGCGCTACCACCGCCTGCCATCTGAGCTGCGCCTTGCCGTGGCCGTTGCACAACAAGACATCGCACCAACCGGACTCTTTTTCGTTTCTTCTTCATCGTGTAACAAAAAGATTCAACACTCGTGCAGCCTCCGATATCTTTGTGCAGCCAACGGATCCACCAAACATCCATCGTCAGGGTTCCCCAACAATCAGCATCTATCGCCTTAATCTTGTGGAAACAGGGTCCCACACGTCATCATCTCAAATCACCTGTGATACCTTGTTCATTGTCTCTGTCCCATCCCTCATCACCCACATCTGGTCCTTGCAAACATGCCTATTCCCGAGTCCGAGTATTTGAGTCCGGTCTGGAAGGATGGCATCTTTAGTGAGTGACTTTCGCACATAGTGTTTTGTCTGCTGCCACCTTACCAGCACCGTCAATACTAACTCTCTTGTGCAGACAACAGAGTCGCCTTTGTCACCGGCGGCGCTGGAAGCATTTGCAGTGCTCAAACTCGCGCTCTTGTCCGCCTAGGAGCAAATGCCTGCATCATCGGCCGCAATGTCGAAAAGACAGAGTCCATGGCAAAGGACATAGCCACAGCCAGGCCTGGTGCAAAGGTCATTGGTATCGGCGGCTGTGATGTTAGAAATGTATGTGCTCATCCACACGCATTCCTTCAAGATATGTTGCGGCTAACAATTTATATCTAGCCCCAAAGCCTGCAAGACGCCGCAGATCGATGCGCCAAGGAGCTCGGCGGCATCGACTTTGTCATGTAAGCGCCCGATTCACAAGGATCTCATCCTGGGGTAGACTGCTGACAACCTTATTACCAACAGTGCGGGAGCTGCTGGCAACTTCATCGCACCCTTGTCCGGCATGAGCCCCAATGCATTCAAGGCGGTCATCGATATTGATGTCTTGGGCACTTTCAACACTGTAAAGGCTACCATTCCCTACCTGGTAGAGTCGGCAAAGAAGAATCCCACGCCCAGCCAAAACGGCCTGACCGGAGGCCGCATCATTTTCGTCTCTGCCACATTCCACTGGACAGGTATGCCGCTGCAAGCACATGTCTCAGCCGCCAAAGCGGCCGTCGATGCTCTCATGGCCTCGGTGACGTTGGAGTATGGCCCGTTCGGAGTCACAAGCAATGTGATTGCCCCCGGGCCGATCAAGGATACGGAGGGCATGCAACGGCTGTCCAGCAGCAAGCAGGACCAGGCCAAGGCCAACGCCGTGGTGCCGCAGGGTCGGTGGGGCGTCATCCGGGACATTGCCGATTCCACCGTCTACCTCTTCAGCGACGCCGGCAGCTTCGTCAACGGTCAAGCAATCCCTGTTGACGGCGGTGCTTGGAGACGCCAGGGTGCACTAGCGGTTGGAACAGATGACGACATGCAATACCCGGATTTCCTTCTAAAGGGAGAAATCTCAAAGCACGTAAAGAGCGGCCGAAAGACGGAGTCCAAGTTGTAATCGACATCGAGAAATCAGCCGTGGTGGGGTAGGGAGGATCACCTCCAGCAAGTCCGCGGACAAAGGAATTCCATCGACCGGGGGTGGAGAGATTGTAAGTTGACATCGCAAGGGTGTGGCTGTTGAACCGCTCAGCTTGTTAGATATATTGAAGAACCGTAGGAAATGGCACTGTATTGAACGAATATAGTCGTTTACAGAAATGTCCCGGATCTTTTGACATTTTGTACAATCCCACCTCACGTTTTATCAATCAGAACCTCCAATCCTTGAGCAAAGCGGCTATCGGCACCACAATTCTACTCAGGCTACTTAGATACATATCTCCCAGCCGCCGACAGGCCGAGCCGCCCCGCGGACGGGAGCGGAGATGCTTGCTGCTGCAAAGCTGCCCCCGAACACACTTTTTTTCTTACCGGGTCGGTCACCAAGCCAACTAATTAGCGTCTTCCAAAGACCGGACAGGGTGCGGCGTACTCAAGCTTTTTGAGCCAAGCCGGCATCCACATCCCTCGACCTGCAGGTGATAGCTTACCATTGGCGGAGCCTTCAGGAACAGCTTGACTAATTGGCCACACGAATTGCTACGCAGACGTGAGTGGCATGGTGGTGGCATCCATCCATTCCCGCCGTCGCCCGCCATGCGGATAAGCAGCAAGACTCACCCGCTCGCGCCGCCCACGGTTGCAGTGAAATCGTACTTTTTGACTGCAGAGTGATAGGACCTGGCCCGGTGGATGCTGATCCATGGGTCTAGTGCGTTTTTATTTGAACCCTTCTCTTGTTACCCCTCCTTTATCGCCAACCATCGACTGGCCCAGAGCAATGAAGCGGGTCGAACCATGCTAGGGACTGGGGAGGAGGAATGGAACATCTGTCGCTGAACCATGTGTGGGCTGCAGGATTTCTTTGAAGGCGATTTTAACTTGTTGAAGCGTCGAAAAGTCCGACTGTCGGTTGTGACATAAAAAGGCCGGCGGTACCCGGCTGCGCGAGGGGACTCGAGGAGACTCCCGATCGTCTTAGTCTCTTCAACTCTCGTGAGGTTTATGTGAACTGCTGACGGGCCGTTAATTTTATTGCTTTTTCTTCTTTACAGGAATTGCAACCCGGCTTTAAGCTTATCTCACCGGCCGTTCTCACACTTCGGCGGGTACTCGACTTGTGTGCAGCAAGTAGTTGGTAGTTCAATTGGTTCATATCGAGTAAGTGGAGGGCTCTACTTGATGTTTTTATGCATACATCAACTCTTATAGCCAGTGGAGATCAGTATCACCAGTCGAGCTAACACCCTCACAGAGTCCAACAACACATCGCAAACATGGGACTCAAGCACCTCCTGGCAATGGGTCTGCCCATCATGCCCGCGGCCGCAGAGACCGTCCTCGGCATCTACGTCTTCCACCGCCACGGCGACCGCACAGCCAAGAAGACGCCTCCCGTCCGCTTCACCGACCTCGGCGCCTACGAGGTCTACACCTCCGGCCTGGAATACGGCCGGCTCTACGTCCGCGAAAACGCCACCCACCAGATCCGCAACATGAGCACCGACGACGTCCTCCCGGAGCAGCTCTCTGTCACCTCCCCCACCGACGTCGTCCTGCAGTCCTCGGCCAACGCCTTCCTCCAGGGCTTCTACCCGCCCTCCGGCACCGTCGAGGCCCTCGCCAACGGCTCCAGCGTCGAGGCGCCCCTCGGCGGATACCAGTACATCCCCGTCAACGCCGTCGCCACGGCCTCCACCAGCACAAACGCCGAGAGCAGCGAGTGGCTCCAGGGCGGCAGCGGCTGCGGTAAGGCCGTCGTCAGCTCAAACAACTACTTCTCCTCGCCCGAGTACGCCGCCGTCGACGCCGAGTCCCGCGATTTCTACCAGAGCCTGCTGCCCGTCATCAACGGCACGTTCGGCGCAAAGGCCGCCACCTTTGAGAACGCCTACTCCATCTTCGACCTCATCAACGTCGCCAGGATCCACAACGACAGCATCCCCTCCGACTCCCTCCTCACCAACGCCACCATCCGCTCGCTGACCGACTACGCCAACATCCACGAGTGGAACCTTGCCTACAACGAGAGCGACCCCATCCGCGCCGTCGCCGGCAAGGTGCTGGCCGGCCAGGTCCTCCAGGCCCTCAACGCAACGCTCAAGGACGCAGCAAAGTCTTCCTCCGTCAAGGCCAACATCCAGTTCGGCGCCTACGCCAGCTTCTCGTCCTTCTTCGGCCTCGCCCAGCTGCAAAAGGTCTCGGCCGACTTCCAGACCGTCGTCGACTACGCCTCCTCCATGGTCTTTGAGCTCGTCACCAACGCCACCTCCGCCAGCCCGGCCGCCGACGACGTCGCTGTCCGCTTCCGCTTCGCAAACGGCTCCGCCGGCATCAACAACCTCACCGTCTACCCGCTCTTTGGACAGTCCGAGACCGTGCTGCCCTGGAACACTTTTGTCACTCAGATGCGCCAGTTCGCTATTGAGGATACCAAGACCTGGTGCACCGCCTGCGGCAACTCCACCGGCACCTGCGCCACGGCCCTGGGTCTGGATGGCAGCACCGACGCCAACGGAACCGGCTCAAGCGGTAGCAAGGGAGGCGTCTCGACTCCCGTGGCGGGCGTCATCGGCGCGCTGGTGACGCTGGTCGTGATTCTGGGCATCCTCGGCCTAGTCATGCTCATCGGTGGCTTGCGTCTGGTCAAGAAGTCCAAGATCGCAAAGGATGTCCCTGCCGCTTCTACTGCGGAGCAGACAGGCGGTGCCAAGCACTGAGCACGTAATGTAAGAAACGATTGTGTGAGACCAAGTGTTCACGATGGATTTGTGATCGATAATGAGACACGATGAATGTATCGTGAATGGTAGTCCCAAGCGGACATGAGCTACCTTAGTAATAAGATGTTGATACCACCCTTTTACTCAAGAGACTACCCATATTCCTTGCCCTGTGATGAGTATGCTCTGCGTAGAGGGGGCGACCCAAGGAATTCGTCCCATATCACAGTGTTCAAGAGCGCCAGAACCTCCTCTGAGCCCGCGGCTTCATCACCATGGCCACCGTTCCAAGTGACTATGTTTTATCTACAGATATTCTAGGGACTCGCAAATGCGAGAGGTGTTGTTGGTTGTCCGCTGCCCTCATCCGAGCTACCCAAGTTCTTCGAAGAAGACCCCTCCCACCCCGATGGGGCAGCCTACGCCCTTAAGTCTCTCAACTCGACCAAGCTTGGGTTGTCATCTCTGTCGGCTTCAGTCGGATCGGAGCTAGATAGTGTGGTTCCACGCATTCTCCTATCGTTAGATCGAGCAGATCGCTCCCTGGTAATATCTGGTGATGCGATGTCCGCGTCTCGAGTTTCTATCCCTTGGACGGTAGGGAAACCTCGACGTGAGCAGCAAGTGCGCTAGCTTGCTACTGAAGTCTCGTTCATACCGTAGATTACGGCGTCGACAAGCCCCTGTATCACGATGCAAGCCTGATCGACGTTTTGCAATGGGAAAGGTGCTGGCGTATTCGTACTTGCTTGGTATATCCGGATGGCAGTTGGGATAGTCCAGACGATGGCATACGCAAGCGGATACAAAAGCAACAGGCGAGCAATCTGGAGCACGGTCAGTCATTACCTCTTCGCTGCCCTGAGCATCGTCTCTTCTTGCCCTTTTGAGCCTTCTGATGGAAATCATAGATTGGCCTTCCAGTCCTTCGTGAGTGCTTGCGGCCCTGCTCCCATCTTGTGTCGAGTAACCGGACTCCAGATGCCCGGGAGACTCCTGCATCGAACTTAACCTGTTCTGAGCTCTGAAAAGAACAAGGGCGAGGTATGCGTATAGCACAAACATGATGGTTATGATTATCCCTAAGGGCATGTTAGTCGTAGATCTAACGTTGTTTATATCGTGTGTAACTCACATCGAGGAACAAAGTTGGCGAGCAGCCTCGTTTTGTCTGACTTGAACCAGCACCCTGTCCGCCTAGGTCAATGACACGAAAGTGCTTTGACTTGGTCACGAATACTCACAAGCCCCGATACTGTGGTAGCCATTCAAACCGAGGCCCACAGAAGCCCATAAGACCGAGAAGAACCACGGAAGTCCCCAAATGACGACTTCGTGGTTCTGCACCCAGCTGGCTCGCTTTCTTTGGCCAGTCAGGATGAAGAACGTGCAAATGGCGATGTTGAGGACCCAATAGTCGGTTTGAATGACGAATACCTGAGCCATGAAGCCGTTGAGCTTACAAAAGTCGGTTTGTTCTGGATCATCGATAAGTCTGCCGCTAAGATTCATCGTTGTCGAGCAGATGAAGTTGAAAGCCATGAGAAAGTCACTGATCGCAAGTCCGATGATAAGGCGATGACGGAAGGATCGCAGGTTTGGGAAGATCTGAAGTGCTTGTCAGCTTTCTGGACATTGCTAACTGATTCGGAGTGGGGGTTGACCCAATAGCTGGCCATGATGAAGCCGGCACCACAAAGCGACAAAAGTGATACAACAAGTATAACAACGCTCTCTATACGAACCTCCTCTAAGGTAGGAGGTTGGTCTAGCCCGCTTCCATTGCTTGTATTGTTTTGGAGAAACATGGCGACATGTAAGTACTTGTGAGTGCGCACCGCCGTAGTCCGTCTGCCTTGCGCAGGTGGTGAGATGGGGTCTCTATTGCTGATGTGGTTGAAGCTGGAGTCGTGCGGCTGTACGCCAGGGCTTCTTTACGTTTGGCGATGATGTCTGGCTTTTCTCGTCTGACGTCTTCATTTGGAATGTTTACTTGACGTTGTTTTAGCAATTTTGGCTTCCGGACCGATGGTGAATGTGAAGGTAGCCATATCTTCGGATAAGAAATCCAGGCAAATGGCAGCTTCGACAGCAGAGGAAGCAGCCACTGAATTCCTCCAGCGATGGAAGGCGAGCTTATCGCCGCGATCTTGCTGTGTGTGCTACCTTCCCATGAGGTACACACGGAAGGCCACATGGTGTCTGTCGTGGGGGTCCTCGGGTTCGGACGGCAGGTAGAATTGTTCGACATCGCAGAGATCGTGGTTTCAGGGGTAGCGACATCGGTATCACCACAGAACCCAGGCAGGTAGAGATTCGTTATCACGAATACAAACATGAAAGGATCTGTGGCCGAGAAATCAAAGACGAGTAAAGAGAAGAAGAACAACAGGTGAGAGTTCTCATGCAAGCGTGTGTCATCCGGCGTGGTCTTGTATGACTTCATGTTCGCCATAACGGCAGCTGTCACTTGCCCAATAATTGAGAGAACAAACCTGGTGACTGGCCAGCAGCTCACAAGATATCAAGTACGTGGGGGACTGACATCGTCGGACACTTGCAGATGCGTAATCTGGCAGGGGTTCCAAGTGCTACTCGTCTATTGGCAGGAATGCTCAGTATTCAAGTAGGTATCCAAGATACTCTCCATCGAGGCCTTCCTTAAGAAGTACCCAGTACGTGTACGTGGGAGACTTGTTGTCCCTTCTTCAAACGCGCCTTCAGTATGAATACTTGCACAGATGGGTAGGTGCTACGCAAAATCGGGAATACCTTCCTCCACTTACGTATCTAGAGAAATTGTATTGCACGCAAGTGTCGCATCAACAGTCGCCCTGCCGGTTCGTCACACCCAACTGCCGATATCTCACCTTAATTCAGGATCAGTCGAGGCCAATGGTCCACCAACATGTCCGTCTCAAAGCCGGATATTCCCATTGCTGCAAAACACCCGCTACCTAGGTGCTTCCAGGGTTCGATCTTGGTTAGTCTAACGGTCGTACTATTTACATGGATACAGTCCTAGCGGCGTGGACCCTCCACCGGCTGCCCATTTCTCCTGAACATCTCGTCTCGGAAATTTTGGACCTCGACTCGATTATTCTGAACACCTCTTTTCGTCTCGACTTGGACGATCAAGGACATCTCCGGCTGGGCGTAGGCCTTCACCAGCTGAATCTAGAGCTCTTTGGGAATATTCACAGCAGTTTTTAGGCTGTTTTCTGGATCCCGATAACTGAGCCCCGACCCTATGTCAAAGCGATGCAATCTCCCACTTCCACTAGTGCCGCTCCGCTCCATCGATCGGCGGTCGAGAACCTGAGATTTGACAGCAGACTTGTCATGTTGCATGTCTGTCACCAATGTCGGCCGCCAGTGTAGCAAAGCGGAGGTTCACTAACTCTGACATTTACTCTGGGTCCGATGTGGCACCCGGTACCCTGGTTCTGGGTAAGGGGCTTGCTGACCATTCACCACTGAAGAAAAATACAACCGTCTTCTTTGATCCTCGACACAGCAGCCCCCTCTAGGCACTGACCCCGTCTAATTAAGGTCCGAAGCCCGGAGCAGCGGCTCCTAGCACATCCTGGGGCCTGGATGGTGGGCGGCCGGTCCTTGGAGCGCACGTTGCGAAACCGAACGTGCGCCGGCCGACCTAGAAACCCGAGGAGGTCGGCTTATTGACTTCCTGAGTTCCTGATGGTTCTTTGCCCCTTGGGCCGTTGCCGAAAGTTTGCGGGGGAGGTTGTCGGCATGGTGCCATCGGCCGACCTTCACCACGATCCCGGCTACTAATTCTGGAAGAAGAAATCGCAACCATCCGGCGCAAACATCCCGACCTGACATCATTCGGCTGACTCGCTAGCATCATACGAGCAAGTGTCCTACCGCAGCCTCCACTACACCGTTTTGACAGGTGCGAACCGTCGTGATCGGCTCAGTGCCAGGACGAGGGGATGACAAGGCGGCGGAGACACCTAGGATAAGGCCGGCAGTTTACCCCGGCACCGAGTCTCCACGGCAAATTGAGATAAATGGGGGGACAATGTCGCCCTCAAATCACTTCCTAGGTTTTTCCCCCGCCAGAAGGGCCAAAGCGGACAACAAGGGTTCTTCCAAAGGCAAAACGGCAGAAATGGCCAGATGGCAGAAGAAGGTTTCGGGGGGCAAGGACGGGGTGTTGGCTGAACTTCTTGACCCGCTCAACTCGGCTGGTGCGACAGCAACATACGATATCCCACTGGGTTAAACGACCAGCAACCCCGACATGGAATCGGCACCCTCCGTCGGCCATTGGCCTCGGGGTAAACGGGAACCTTCGCAACGTGTCGCCGGGGTGGTTGCCAGCAACGGGTCCGGAGAGCCGGGTCGATCAAATGCAAGCCCAGGGACGCCCATGGACAGTTGCGTAGGGCAGCAGCATCAGACCACTATACCGTATCGGCAATGCGACGTCGCTTGCGGACCCGGAGACGGCGCCGTTTTGGGACTTTGCTTCACATCACAAATGCTAGCGGCCGCCCTTTCGGTCCCGAGACCACGGACCGGCCCAGAACACACTGAACATAGCCCACCAGATGTAACATTGTTTGAATAACCGACTTGGACAATGTGTCGTTCTATGTATTCAAACTCGTACCTGGAGGGTCATGAGCAGGGTCGGGGCTTGAACAAGAGATTGGCATGGAGCTCCAGATGCCACATTCGGCGCAAATACTGCTCGTGAGGGCTCGCGTAGCGTGTCTCCCCAGGTCTCTCTGTCAAACTTAGACCCAGTCCGACCCGCTGCCTTCCACAATTGAACCCCCGTCCGTTGAATCTCGAAGCCGACGTCACGATGCATGCTTATTAGACTTGAGGCACGACGAGTCGGTGTACTTGATCGACATCTAGCACTAACAGAGACTTTCTCGTACGACTCAGTGCGGCGTATCGTATTGTATCTCTTTGCGGAACTGATCGACTTTGAAGGAGCTTTACCGCCGTTTAGGATTTCAGCGACTTCCTAAGAATTGACCAAACCTAGAAGCCCCACGGCGGAACAAACACAATCTTACAGTCAAGCTGGATGACAGGCTGAGTCACCTGCGTGGTTGATCTGCAAAATGGCGCCCGCGAAGGGTCCGGACTTGCCATGAGAATGACGGGATACCGAAGAGTCGGTCCTCCTCGAAGTATGAAGTGTGGCGCGTATAGCTGGCGAAGAGTGCTCGTGGCGAGGGAGCGAGCTCAAGATGGGTTTGAGAAGTTTCTTACTGGTCAGCGAAGTTACGCTGAGTTGCCCACTTCGCATAGTATTCAAGCACAGAACCTCATGCCTTAAAACGCCTCCTCGACACGACCGTATGCAGTATCTCCACACCGGAATGGCCACATCGCCAGCTGATCGAGCTTCCTGTATGCACACAGTCTCGCATTGCCTCAAGGCATGGTGCTGAGACCATTGCGATCCTACCACGGATAACGTAAATAAGGCTCCGACACTATCACAAGAGCAGACCGGAGTGGAGGGCGGGGGCCATGTAGCAGTCGAGGGAGCACCCGTACGACACGAAGCTTAGCGAGCAATCCTCCTTTTGTGTGTATCAAAGCGTCTGACTGCATGAGGAATTACAGATATTATGGGACATAGACACCCAGTCAAGGAGGGCGCGGTAGCCGTCTCCACCCGGGGGGCTGCAAGCCATCAACGACCCGTACATGGATGCTGACACCACTCTGTCTGTCGCCTTATCGTCCGCGGGAGCTATGGACACGATCGCCGAGCTATATCTACGTGTTCAGAGAACTCTGCGAATCATCACTTGCTTCATGGGAGCATGGGAGAGGTTGAGCTGGGGCCAGAGATGATCCATAGCTTCTGCAACCCAGTCAGCCTGCAAAACATGGCATCTATTGGCATTCGTGCCGCCCACGAAGATCCACGAGAGACAACAGATGAGGGGTTATAGAGCCAACAAAGTGCAAAAGTGGGAAGCGAGGGGTGCTCAAAACAGGCCAGAAACATGGGGACCAAGCAGGGCAACAGCGGCTCGCATGAAGCAAAAAAGAAAAGAAGAAACCATTGTTTGTGGAGAGGGTATATCGCGGCTCTGCTATACACCCTTAGCTTTTTTTTGTGCGGTGGGCGCGCGCGCGCGCGCGGATGCCTGCGTCGCTTCTTTTACCCTCGAACCCGCCGCAGCCCGGCGCCCGGTCCGCACCGGGCGATGTGATGAGGGAACAACGACTGTAGGTATTTGGCATTTCAGCTCAGCAAGTATGGAGTAGCTTGCAGGATCTCATGACGAACCCCCTCCATGCTCCAGCCAACGAACGCATCCTACACCGGTAGCGGCCCGTGTGAGTGTGTGTATAGCACGCAATAGCGCTGTCAAATAAGTCAGCTTCACTCTGTATCGGCCAAGGAGGGTGGGGACTTTAGTTCTGTGCGCAATGGAATGATGATGACCAAATACGTGGTGATCAGCTATGCCGTGGTGAAGGAAGAGGCGCATGGCTGTCAGGTTGACACTTCAATAGTTGACGGCATCGCACGACAGAAAGAGAAACATTCGGCTGGGACGAGATCAGGTTGTGACACATGCTTGGTCACCACAAACTGTGGTACCATTGGTTTTCTCTTCATTCCATGCTTCATGTAGCAGCATTGTGTGTGTACAGACAGTATTCTCTACCA